CTTGTGCCTGTCCCGTGCAGCCGCCGCAGCCGAACATGCCGACCGTCTCCCTGGCGTCCCCCAGATCCTCCCCGCAGCTGCCGCAGTAATCCCTCTCAGTACTGTCCGCCAGGTAGGTCGTCTGTGGGTGGGAAAGGAAGTCCGTTCGTTACTGACGGGATTTGCTTTTACTGGACCCCGATATTGGTCTGACAAGTCTGCACAGCAGGCTATGGAAGCAGATAATTCGCAGTGTTTTCCACCTGTTTTATTTTCAACTTTTGGTTCATATTTCTAGTATATGAATTTCTAACCGTTGGGTAGGAGGTGACGTAATGTACTGTTAGTATGTTACAAAACCAGGCGTGAAACACCGACTGAGCCGGAACCTCCCATCTGCTTGGAGCCTGTTTTTTTTCTCATAACCAATAAACGGCTTTAGGTGTAACATACCAATTTTGCCATGTAAGTACAAGCTGTGTAAGGCCGGACTGTAAGGTTTGAACCACTCACACTGGGAAGGTCTCCTACGTGCGTGGGGTGTGGCTTCCCCAAACACGGGACCTCCATGTAACGTCCTATCCGAGGGACGTCCCTAACCTAAGCCTCCCATCCGCTAGCGTACCCACCTGCCCACAGTCCGGCGCCCCGTCGTTCTCCCCGCAGTTGTCGCAGCAGACGTAGTGCTTCATGTGCAGCAGGCCGCCCCGCTTGTAGGCGGTGCACTGCCCTTCGGCTGCAAGGCTAGGGCCAGGGAATACCAGGGCAAAACAGAGAACAACCAGCGTAAGGGGAGACATGGTCGGTACGTTCAGTGTCGCCCAGCAGAGCTTTTAGTGGTTATAACTTAGCTTACAAGACAGTATCAAATCGGCAAGACTAACAATTTGGCAGGACAATATCCAATTGACAACTTAACAGTATCCAATAGGCAAAATAGTATCCAATGCGATAGGAACACGACAAAAGTACAGTGCGTAACGACGGGCAGAATTCTGTTTTTTTTTTAAACTACCAGAGACGTGGCACGGGCAGGTCACCAGGATGTGCGGTTATGGAATCACTCCGCGTATACACCTGTGCTTATACAGGTATACTTATACAGGTATATACACCTGTGCTTATACAGGTATACTTATACAGGTATACTTATACAGGTATATACACCTGTGCTTATACAGGTATACTTATACAGGTATACTTATACAGGTATATACACCTGTGCTTATACAGGTATACTCATACAGGTATATACACCTGTGCTTATACAGGTATACTTATACAGGTATACACACCTGTAATGCTCAGGTTTCATATAGAATAACCTCCATAGCAGAAGAGAGTTTCAATTCTTTTTTCAAGACATGCTCCATTAAGACAAGTAAAGGTATGGAGTTCAAAACTCCTTCAGAAATTATTAGCAGTTGCCAAAGCCCAAAGCAATATCATATTGGATATGTTTATTAATATGGTGAGTAACGTGTCTGCTATCTAACCTGTAGATCCAATGGCTAGAATTTGAAGATCAGATACCTCCGAAATAGATCCACAAATATGAAAAAAAAACAATACATGACTCTTGTGCACTGTGAAAATATTCTTTAATTCATGAATCACCTGTATTTTCACAATAAAATACCATCAAAATTTACTGTGGAAGATTCAGTGGCAACAATATCTAAAACTGCACTTTTGCATTAATAGTTGCATTGCATTTGCTGGAGTTTATCTATGGCTCGCATATAAAACTACACAATCACCACTTCTATATATACTAACCTACCTTACATGTATATACTAACTAGTTATGTTACGATGGCATGTTCAAAACTTCTTCAAGTTATACAAAATTGGAAAAGTTTCTACTTGGATCAAGACATACACATGAAGATGAGCTTATATGTTGCCAGAAAAAACTCTTCAAGCCTGACAAGCAAAATCACAGCCTTGCTATTCTACTAAAAGGTCAGGATTCACAGAAAAAAATAAGTCTTGAATCACACAAATTTCACATTGAATTCTCTGCCTACAATAGTACTAAATTCCTGACTATAAAATTTCACCAAACCAATAGGCAACTATAAGATGACACATGTACCTGTCTGGTAAGCTTGTATCTACCTGTCTTCACTACTAGTATACATGTTTGATACCATCTAATGTGTGTTTCTAAGAACGTTTCTGTGCAAGAATGCTGCTGAAAATCTCAAGTTTGCCAGAGCAATTGCATGGGCCACCACCTATAGTATCTGATATTATCAAGCAAATTATGCATTGTAATACACAACACAAATATGGCATAACACAAAGCATTTTACGTTAATCATTAAATTTCCACATCACAGATATTTTCTGTTCAAAATCTCTTATTTCATTCAGCAACAACAGCTGATATCCTGACACAAAATTCAAAACATGTAATTATAATCTACCGAACTATAGTTATAAGTTAGCAAAACTCAAACCCACTAACAAATCATTTACTGCTGTATCTCATTTGCTGTCATGTCTCTCTACATCTATTACTTCTTTTTGTAATTACATTTACTCAGCGATAAGACACTGCATTGTTATCATCTTCCACAATCTTATACATCGCAGTGAAAACGGACAGAGTTGCATTGTAATTGTGCAATAACGTGCTATAGATAATTCCATGGCAACAGCAAGAAAACCGTGGCAACGGCACTTGGTGATATTATGGACACGGATGTTACATCTCTTTGAATTCACTTCTTCTTAAAAAAAAGTTAGTCGTACAGTAGCCAGCAGAATCATGGGTGTCATATCTACGTTAAGGCACTTTGTTATTTTGCAAAAATTCCTCAGAAAAAAAAAACAGGATTCATTTCGTACCTGCAGGTCACATCACTGCAGCTGGAGCTGCTGCAACTCCTTACACTGCAGATAGGTGGAGCTGCTGCAACTCCTTACACTGACTGTCACAAAAAAGATGCTCAGACTAAGAATATGAAAGTTTACTGCACTGTGAACAGTCTGAGCATCTTCCCTAGTGTCATATTCACACCATGCTTTCATTATGGCTGATCCAATCCTCATCAATAAAAGAGGATTTTTGCACATTTTTTTTGTCATTCTAAACAGACATACATGTACACGTTGCTCTTTGTTTCTTTGGATACACAAAAATTATTCTTCTACATACTCTACAAAAGATGTACTAAAAATTTGTAAATTTTCTATTCATTTGATTCTGTATGGAAAAATTCACCCTTTGCAACAATACAATGACTCAGTAATAGCTGCCTTATTATATCCCATGTCAAAATGAGCTGAAAAACTTTGGTTTTACGTGTATATAAACACACTCACACTTAACAATAGGTACCTGATATTGAACATTATACAGTAAAACATTGGTTACCTTGTATGGCTTTTAGCATTTTAAATTACAGTATCGTAAAATGCATTGTAGCATTTTTTGTTCATTTCTGTAAACTGTACATTTCAATTTCCTTTATTGAAAACCTCAAATTCTAGTTGCATTGCTTTTCTACAGGATCTTACTGCTATTTACTAGTACTTAAATTTGATCCAGCATTTTTAATGGCTTATTATACACTTTGATATGAGCTTATTTCTAAAATACATACTTTTATTTGCATTGCGAGTGCAGAGTAGTAATATATGTACAGTGGAAAACATTTTCAGTAAAACTAAAACTGATTGCTGTCAGACCATATGTACATTTGAACAGTACAAAATGCTGCATTTGCAAAATGTCCCACTGTTCTTTATCTGATGCAAGACATTAGAGGACACTTTACAAGGAAATATTCAGGCACTGACTGGATTTTCACCACAAAATTTACAGTTGAATTGTGGTGAAAAGTTATAGAAACATATGGCACAACTTTGCTCACTGTAGGTGGAAGACGGTCAATGGTTTTATTGTACTTTTCTGGGATGGAAGGAGATTTTCACTCCTTTATTCCTCAAAATGCCAACAATTAGGGGGACAGAATATGTTACTGAGGTCACACCCTAACCTCTAACCTCTAACCTGTGACCCCTACTTTAACTCCTCCTGTAGCCAGGCCACCATGGCCTCCTGACCTTGAGAAAGGTCACACCTGGTGCACAGCATGACCTTGCTGAAGTCATCAGGGGTCGAGTTCTGGACCAGAAGTTCCAGCAACTCGTTACACTGGAGGGAGGAGAAAAAACTCAGTAAACTTACAAAATACTTCCAGTAACATCATTTGACATGTCATGACTTCAATAATCATGTAAACACTGCTGCCCATCTGAATGTTACTGCTATTTCAGTACACCAAACATCTTACCTAATGTATGACCAGGCCATACCTTAAAATGTGTGTCCGTGTGTGTGATAAGACCCTACCTTATGTGTGACCAGCACCAGTGGTTTGTTTGTTTGTTTGTTTGTTTAGGTATAACCCTACCTTATGTGTGACCAGCACCAACCCTGCACAGCCGCCTCAGCCGAGGTATAACCGTAGGGAGTGTTGTTTGTTTGTTAGTTAGTTTGTTTGTTTAGGTATAACCGTACCTTATGTGTGACCAGCACCAGTGTGTTTGTTTGTTTGTTTGTTTGTTTGTTTAGGTAAGACCCTACCTTATGTGTGACCAGCACCAGTGTGTTCGGTAACAGCCCCTCGGTAGGAGGGACCCTGCACAGCCGCCTCAGCCTCGGTTCATGTATAACCATAGGGAGCGTGTTGCTTGTTAGTTTGTTTAGGTATAACCGTACCTTATGTGTGACCAGCACCAGTGTGTTTGTTTGTTTGTTTGTTTAGGTAAGACCCTACCTTATGTGTGACCAGCACCAGTGTGTTTGTTTGTTTGTTTGTTTAGGTAAGACCCTACCTTATGTGTGACCAGCACCAGTGTGTTCGGTACCAGCCCTTCTGTAAGAGGAACCCTGCACAGCCGCCTCAGCCTCGGCCCGTCCACCAGCACAGTTCTGCCGCTGAAGCTCTTCACATCCGCCAGGGAACCGCTGGTGTAGCTAAATGTGCACTGGGTAACACACAAGTACGAACATAAGCTTATCTACTGGCATGGCTGAACATGCACTGGGAACGGACATGGGGAGGCATGAGCAGGGTTAGTAACAACAGCAGCTGAACCTACACTGGGAACACACCAGTATAAACATATATGAGTACACACCGAACCATAACTCTATACTATACAAGTCTACAGTGCTACATCTGATCAGGACTTCTGGAGCAAAAGTGGTAACCATGACAATGGCATCAGGTAACCATGACAATGGGTAACCATGACAACAGGTAACCATGACAACAAGTAACCACGACAACAGGTAACCATGACAACCGTGTGACCCACCTGGTCGGTGACCTGTATGGTGTGAGTGTGAGTCTTGGACAGCTCGACCCCTGACCCCGGGCTGGGCAGCCGCACCTCCAGTAGGATGTGGTACTGTAATAAACAAACAAACATCAAACATCACAGGTGTCAATCATACAGCCCTAACCCTCCAGTAGGGTGTGGTACTGTTAAGATCAAGCAAGAAAAACAAGATGAAACATTAATAGCAGCTGTCGGACATGCCAAATGATATTCAGCAATGCCTCATCACACTTCACTTCTACAAATACCATCTGTACGACATGAGAGTGATAGTTTGTTACAGTTTGTTACAGAAAAAGCTGCATGATTATGAGAGACTGTTCCTCTCTCATGACAGCCCCCTGCTGGATGAGCAGAAAACTGCAGCACCACATTCATTTCGTATCGGGGTGGAGGTGGGCACAAACAAACAAACAAACAAACAAACAAACAGACCTGCTTGGGGAGGCAGACGTTGCCCCATGCGAGACAGACAGAGCCCCTCCAGCTGCTGTACATCTGCAGGTCGGAAGGCCCCAGGACGGACGTTGCTCCGTTGTTGTTGCAGCTCGAGTCCCCGCCTGAGTTGGTCCGGCTTCTCTTGGCGCACGGCCGCTCTGGTCTGGGCACCAGGGACAGGTCTGGGTCTGGAGGGGAACCCTGGGGAAAGGTTCGATGAGGAAATTTCAGTTTCCATTTTCTCTACATGAGGATGACATGAAGTAAGGATTTGATAAGCTTTTAATCAATAACTTTCATCATTGCCAAAAAGCAGTTACTGGATATGATTTGGGAAACTCAAATTCATTCCAAAATCATATCCAGTTGCTTGAGTAACTGCTTTTTGGCGTATCTTATTACCTGGATGTCTAACCTTCATTGACGTAACTTTCATCATTATTACCATCACCATCTTCCTTGCCACATACTTGGAGTTCGGCACTGAGGTGGGCAGTTAGTGCAGAGTTAGTGTCTACTAAAGTTGCTATAATTTACATTTTGACTGTCATTTTGTCTCTCTGGAGTTGTGATCTCTGGAACAAGGAACAGTTTTGTAACTTTTACATCTCTGGAATATCAAGGACATGACATTGAAGAACCTTACTGTGGCTTTGAGGGTACAGGTGCATTTCCGTGACAATAAACTTGAAGGTACACAGAATGGCCATGAAGTTGAGAAAACACACGTACATTTGCATCTAGCTCTGCCGTTGTCCCGTCAGCGTGGACAGTCATGTAACACATCACATCTGTCAGCTGGAACTGGCTGCTGTTCTTCAGACAAACCTCCAGCCTTACTGTGTCTTCCTCTGGCACAAGCCTGCAATCTGAGGAAAACACATCATAATATCTGTGATACAAGCCGGCAATCTGGTTATAACACATCATTTCTGTCAGCTCTGACAATCCAAGTACAATCATACAGTCTTACTGTGTCTTCTTCTGGTACAAGTCTGCAATCTGGGGACAAAATCATCCAGGTTTCACTCTATAAGCATAAATTCCTAACACATCATATCTGTGATACAAGCCGGCAATCTGGGACAAACACATCATTTCTGTCAGCTCTGACAATCTGAGTACAATCATACAGTCTTACTGTGTCTTCTTCTGGCACAAGCCGGCAATCTGGGGATAACATTATCGACTTTTTACTCTACAAGCAAACATTTTACTAAGTCTGGAATTCTTAAACTATCTCAGATTGATCTGAGAATAATAAATATGTAGTATAAAATAATATTATGTAGGGAGACAAAAAAAAAACAGACATCTTGTATCATGGCACTTGCAGACACATCCCATGTACAAAAGCATAGATAAGTGTGGTGGTGTCGTGGTGGGGCGACAAACTTTGCCTAAGAGACTCAAATCAGACTTAGTCCTCGTCCCAGACCTGCTAAGCTAATTATACTATTCCAACTATGTCTGCAGAAACTGTAGAGAGAAGGGATCTGAATGATCTGATGTTAATAAGTTTCTATCCATGAAGCCACTGGGTGTCTCACATGGTGCACTGTGTGTTGACCCTTGGTGTTGCTGTCTGGTTCCATGAATATCCATACAGTTGAGACCAGGTGTCTATATGATAGGGGTGGGTACCTGTTCGGCTCTTTCAGGTCCAGGTCCAGGTCCAGGTCCAGAGGATCAGGTCCAGGTCCGGACCTGTACCTGTACCTGATTCTGGACACCGGAGTATCAGTACCAAATAATTTTTGCTAAATGATCATTGCATAAGTAACCATTACTAAATTTTTTTTATTTATTTTTTAATTTTTTAAAATTTATCTTTTTTTTAATTTATTTTTTATTTTATTTTATCCTATTTTAATTTTATTCTATCCTATTTTATCCGTTCTATACATTATCAAGCTTCTCCTCTTGTCCTATATGGCTACCAGAACCGAATATATTAATACATTAAACTTCCCAACCAATCACATCGCAGGATTTTGTGCAGTCGCCCCCTCTAGCGGTTTGGGCCAAATTGCAGGTCCAAATTTGGGAATCCAAGATGGCCGCCGCTCGGCACAGTTCAGAGCCGATTCCCGAACTTTCCTTGTATTTTCCTTGGTATTTTACGCGATTCAAGCAAAGGAGACAAGTTGACCACAAGAACAAAAGAGTAATACAGCCTTGGGAACCAAATGGTCCGTTTTGTTGGGTACTAATTTCTCATTTCGAGTGAAAAATGTGCGGCACAGTGTGACCATGTGCCAGTGATTTTCGGCTTGATCGATCCGAAGCAAACGCAACCTGTTAAGTTCTCTTTTATGATTTCTAGATGACTATTGGTAATGAAAATATAGAGAATATTGTTGCAGAATGAGAGATACGGAAACTAAGGTAAATTTCTTTTATTTTGAGGCTGGATGTTCGTTTTCCTGGCAGGATTCTTGTATCTAGTGATCATCAGTAACTACAAGTTTAAATTTTTGTTCCGGTCCAAAAAACCGGTCCACTGACGTTTCGGTTTTTCGGACCGGACCGATAAAATTTTTGCGGTCCGAACCGGTCCACCTGGACCGGTACCCACCCCTACTATATGATAAAGTATATTACCTGTGTAAGAACCTGTGGCCTGAAAATGCCCACTGAATTCTGATATCTGCTGTTTTCCATCACATTGAACATTCTATAACGCCACATCATTAGTACTGTGTCAGACATGGGCATCGCACCAAGAGGTCGCGGGTTTTAATCTGAGAAGTTGAATTGAATCCGAGCATGTGAATAACAAAGGTTTGATATCCCCTGAGCACAGAGCTTCCATCCACGGTGTACTGTTCTCTGTGTTAGTCACAAAATGCCTGGGGAATGTTATGTGGTACAACCAGAATCTAAGCTGGGTTTAGACACTATGATTCTACTCACCGATTTCGAGGCTTTTCAGCTCATCCTGCACAGTGCTATGATCCACATTGCACTGTGCACTGTCAGTGTAAGTTATGAAATTTATTATAATAAGGTGAATTTAGACACATCTCAAACAATTTTCTTTTCCATTCCTGACTTTCCAGACTTTTCAGCACAAACTGTCTGGGGGACGTTACGCGGTAAGAAGTTACAACTGGAAATCTAAGCTGGATTTGGATACGTCTCCGTGATTTTTTTATTCCATTTCAACTCACCGATTTCTAGGCTCTTCAGCACGAACTGTTCGATGATGGAGTTTACCGTCTGCACCAGTTCTGCGTTGTTCTGGAAGTTTCCTAAAAGATTCTGTAAAACATAAAATATATCAACAGTGGAAAGGTACACAAATGTGCCTGATGGATTGTATTTACAAGTACTCTATTTACTAATTTATAGTGCCTCTAGTCACCTCATACCTCGCTAATGTCTGAGGTGCTTTTCTCTTTACACAACATCAACAAACGCTGGGGAAAACGGAAAACCCAGACATACTGGAGACAGATTCATCACACTGCCAAGTTCATTATTACATCACAATCTCCCAAGTTCATTACCACAGCACCTGGCAAGTTCATTGGTCTCCCTAAGTTTATTACTATATATATGGTCTCCCCAAGTACATTACCATATATGGTCTCCCCAAGTACATTACCATATATGGTCTCCCCAAGTACATTACCATATATGGTCTCCCCAAGTACATTACCATATATGGTCTCCCCAAGTACATTACCATATATGGTCTCTCCAAGTACATTACCATATATGGTCTCCCCAAGTACATTACCATATATGGTCTCTCCAAGTACATTACCATATATGGTCTCCCCAAGTACATTACCATATATGGTCTCCCCAAGTACATTACCATATATGGTCTCCCCAATCACTGGGAGGTCCATTATTACGTACACCAGTGTCCCCTAATTCATGTAAGTTCATTATCACATACAGTCTCCCAAGCACCTGGCAAGTTCACCATGACCATACATATGTATACGGCCTCCCCAAGTTCATTACGACACCGCATTTGTGTGTTATACATTACCTGATACTTTGGTCTGTAAGCTATGCTGTACCAAGCTCAGATGAGATGCAGAGATGAGAGCTCCTATAGCCACCCTAGGTAGATAAACTCCTTCATTAAGATTGGACTGGGAGAGGTTTTGCCTTCCTGCGTTGTGATAATTACATTGCTAATGTCTAATTAAGATGTTCTTTTTCCAATAAAACACTTACAGTTGCGGCTGTTCCAAGCATTGTCTTCACCCCCTCCACTGTCTTCTGCATTGAGCTCATCATGTTGATTCTGCAAGTAGAAAAATACAAACGTTAACAAAGATGTGATTTTCTACAATTTGCAACAAATGCAGAAATTAACCAGTGTTTGGTGTTACACAGATTAATAATAATCATATATCAGCTCTACAGGCCACCTTGCTACATGGTGAAATCAAACACCAGTTAACATGGGGTCTGCTGTATCTCCTATAGTTCATTTATCTGTTGCCATCTTAGACCTTAATTCTTACTTTAAAATGACAACAACAACCAGGTACAAGCAATACTAGTAAAAGTCATACATCTTTACAAAACTCATCACAGAAACACTCTCACGCGGAAACTTGAGGCCTGGGATTGCAGGAGAGAATAATTTGTTATCCTGCCCCTGAGTGACTGAGCCAACAGCAGAATCTCTGCCAAACCAACAGGAGATACCAATGGGTAGATCTCGTCTAAAAGGCACTTGCCTCTTAGTTCTCCAAGCCCCAAGGACAGACAACACTTAAGCTCCTGTTCTGAAACAACAGAAGCTTAACTATTTTGCATCGTCCTTGTCTTGACTTTTCTAACTTAAGTTTCCTTTTAGTGCCTTTCTGACAAGTCTCCAGTGTCACTGACGAAAGCTAGTGGATACTACCTGAAACGTCTGACCGTTTCCAAAATCACATCCAGTTGCTTGAGTAACTGTTTATGGCCTGGATGCCTGACCTTCACTGAACCAACAGTGGAGATATATCGCCATTTAATTTACATACCTAAACCTAGTACGAAAATATTTGGGTGTACTGGTGCACCCACAGAAAAAAATGAGCTCCAAATATGGGTGTACTAATGTGGACATGGACCCAGTATTTCCAGCCCAGTCTACCAAACCTGAGCAGAGATAGATCGCCGTCCATTTCAGGAAGAGTTATAGCACAGCGTTTATTCCTGAGGGACGCACAAAAATAACCTATAATCTATAGATCAGCTGGAGCCTCGCTCAGGGACGATCAATAATGGAGACATACGACCAGCGATGTGACAGTTCGTCTTCTTCTCTTTCTAAAAACCTTTCAGCGTCTTCAGAGGGAAGCAGGCGCCATAAAGACGCAGGAGAATACACTCGAGGACAATAAGCCTGGCTGAGGCCACACCAGCACATTTAGCTGTTGGTTCTCGGATTTCTTCTGGGAGAATGTAAAGGGAGGGCAGGGAAAAAAACAATCGCATCCTCAGATAGCCCTAAATGCTAAGATAAGAGATGAAGTCAACATACCTGGATGGTTTATAATTCAAACAATGAGTTTCAAACTTTTATTAAAGTTTTAGTCAAATCAGTGTCTGTATTGGAAAAATTTAACTTCAAAAACATGAGTATTTTGGAGTTGATTTAGAACCTGAGTACTTCTTTTATTTTGTTTGCAAATCAGAAAAAAAGGAGGGTGGCAAATCCTGGAAAAACAAATTGATCAAACTGGTGATCAATGCCCAGACTAGAAAGTACATTGTATACCCGTGACCAGATGGTGCAAAGACTCTGAAAGAGAAACAAGACAATGTATAAAACAGATCTGCCCATCTGCAGGGCTTTGCCTAAATCCTGAGGTACTTTCCCGAGTACGTTTCACTCAAGCTGAGCGAGGAAACTTACAGGACAGGGAATCCTTCAGCTACAGCAGGACCAGAGAAGGGATTTGTTACCAATACTGTAATTCACTTTCTGTTCACGGTAGCAAAAGTTCACGGTCTGATAAA